GCTTGTATTTAAATTTTTCCGAGTAATATTAAAAAGTTTGGAGATAATTTTTATTAATTTGCCTAATTATTTTTATTTCAATTTATTTATTTACCAGAGTGTCATCGTTGGCGACGCCCCGCTGTCGCCTTCCTTAATTCAGTCCAGTGACAGATCGGCCCAAGATATTTTGGGCTTTAAAGACGGGCCTTGAGATCGGAAGTTTGGGCCTATACTGGCCTCGAGGCCCATTGTGAGTGCTGTGTGCAAAGCGTCAGATCGGTACCAAAAACCTCAGTTATCTGTCTTCGAGAAAATCAGAGACTTCTCTTTGCTGGGAAGAAAATGGCTCCGAAATCCAAAGACAGGCCGAAGCCATCTCCGTCCTCTCAGCCGCCTCCACCGATTGAAGATCAATTCACTTCTCTAAACAGACATATCCAGCGATCTGAATTCTCACAAGCCGTCAAAGTCGCAGATCAAAGTTAGTTTTTTCCTTTTTAATCGAACATTTTATTCCATTTCCCTTTACTTGTCAGATTCTCTCGTTTTTCCTTCATGTAACTCGCATTTGTTGTATCTCATAGTTCTGTCAATTGCTCCTGGCGACGAAGACGCCCTTCGATGCAAAATCGTAGCCTTGATCAAGGATGATAGAATTGATGATACTCTTTCAGCGATTCAATCGTCTCGGACAATTGACTTTAGCTTCTTCAAGGTAGAAAGGATTTTACGATTTCTGTTCTCTTTTTGTTCCTTGCTGTTTTAAATTGGACGAATCGAGCTTAAAGGGAAATTATTGTTTTATTTTAGGGTTTGATCCTCAGAGGGGTAGGTCTTCGATGCAACTGAAAACAATAGTCAAAAGAAAATGAAATTAATAGCTAATTGAACAAATGCAACAATGTATTAATCAATTATAATGCAAGAAGGATGCATAAATTTTGTTTTCATCTTGTTCTGTTTTCGATTTTGTGTAGCTCAAGAAGTTACTAATCGTAATTATTATTTATTTTTTTAAAATAAAATACCAATTTTCGTTGAGGGGAAAAAAAATATGAAAGAATACAAGGGCGTATAGAAAAATAAAGCCCACAAAAGGGAGCACTCTAAAAGATATTCCAATCAAGCAAAATGAGACCAAACAAATAATTAATGAGAAATATAACTAAAGGGAGTACCTAGAGCGTAGAGAAAGAGTTTTCAATCCCGCAAAACTCCCTCTTAATGTTGTTGGAAGTGTTAAGCATTCAGATGAAATTAATTTGAAATTACGCGTCACTCATAGATGAGTTAACCAGTTGAAGATATATCTTGAGTACATAAGATTAAGATCTTCATTCAACATTGTCTTCTTATTTACTTTAGATGGGCTTAACATTATGGATTGATTAGCTTGCAGCTCTTGAAGTTCAGCAAAGAATAATATGTAAGCATAAAACTGATTAGATTTTTCAGGATTCCTCTAGTAGACTACATTGCAGTTGTTGGTTTGTTGTGAATTTCAAACGAACTCACCAGTAAATGGAGTGTGAAACTTATATCTTTCGTTCAACAACTGTTTCTTTTCGTATATATGTCTTTGCCCTGGTTTCTTTTCCTTGCCACAGTAAAGGTGTTTCCGCTATTAAATTCTATGAAACTCTCAATTACTCTTTAATGACACTTGATCGATTCTTTTTATCTTCTTTCTCTAGATTCATGCAGTGATATAATTGTGCCCGGACACTACCAACTAACTCATTTTGTTCTGTTTATATTTCTTTTTAAAATTCTTTTTCAAAAACAGGCATACTGCCTATACAGGCAAAATAAGTTAGATGAAGCTTTGGGTTCCTTGAGAGACCAAGAGAGAAACTCAGCCACGATGCTGTTGGAATCCCAGATCTTGTATCGTTTAGGAAAAATGGATGCTTGTGTGGACACTTATCAGAAGCTCGCAAAATCAAAGATTGATTCTTTAGAAATAAATTATGTTGCAGCTTTAACTGCAGCTGGGCGGGCCTCTGAAGTACAAGGAGCCATGGAGGCTCTTAGGGTGAAAGCTACCAGCAGCTTTGAGTTGGCATACAATACTGCATGTTCCTTAGTTGACGTGAACAAGTATACGGATGCAGAACAACTGTTACTGTCAGCTCGAAGGTAATATATTTACACACATATAAGTTCATAAAAAGTTCATCAATTACGAACGTGTATCACACTGTCACTTATTAAAAAAATTTAAGTGGTTGGTCCATATCTCTGTTTGACTTGAAGTTCTCCATTTATCCTTAGGATCAGTTTTCCTTAAAACTTACGTTTAAGTGATTCTTCTTTGTATGCTTTTGTCAGAATTGGCCAGGAAACGCTCATGGAAGAGAATTTGCCTGATGAAGATATTGAGATTGAGCTAGCCCCAATAGCTGTCCAACTTGCATACTTGCAGCAGGTATCTTCATTGAAAAAATGAATCTTTTTACTTTTCTTTAAGAACTTGAGGTATTCAGTCATGTAATCCCAATTTATCCATTATTCAGCTTCTTGGTCACACATCAGAAGCCTCTGAAGCTTACAGAGACATCATGAATCGAGATTTGGCAGATGAATCTTCGCTTGCAGTGGCAGTGAACAATCTTATAGCATTGAAAGGTCCAAAAGATATTTCCGATGGCCTTAGAAAACTTGATAAGCTAAAAGATAAAGATGCACCAAACTTCCGGCTTGCTCGTGGACTTGAACCAAAGATTTCTCAAAAGCAAAGGGAAACAATATATGCAAATCGTCTCCTCCTCCTTCTCCATGCTAATAAAATGGATCAGGTCATTTTATATCCTGCATTATCTTTTGAACTCTACCTTTATGCAAATCTATGCATCCATAAAAATTTAAAATGAAATATTCGTTGGAAGGAATAGAAATCTCCTTGTAGCAGCATATTGATTATTCAATAGTGCGAAAATTTTGTGGCTTGCATCTGCTTGAAAGACCATTTTTATGTGTTCCAGGCTCGAGAAATGGTTGCAACGCTGGCTGATATGTTTCCAAACAGTGTGACCCCTCTACTTCTTCAAGCGGCTGTATTAGTCAGAGAGAATAAAGCTGGGAAAGCTGAAGAAATTTTGGGTCAGTTTGCTGAAAATTTCCCAGACAAGTCCAAGTTGGTTCTACTAGCGAGGGCGCAGATTGCTGCTGCTGCGGGCCATCCTCATGTTGCATTTGAGTCCCTCTCTAAGATACAGGATATTCAGCACATGCCTGCCACCGTTGCTACACTTGTGTCTCTCAAAGAACGTGCTGGAGATGTTGATGGAGCCATTGCCGTGCTGGACTCTGCAGTCAAATGGTGGTCAAATGCCATGACTGAAGACAACAAGCTTGATGTTGTACTGCAGGAAGCAGCTTCATTCAAGTTGAGGCATGGCCGCGAAGAAGATGCGGCCAAGTTATACGAAGAGCTAGTTAAGACCCATGGAAGTATAGAAGCATTGGCTGGATTGGTCAAGACGGTTGCTCGTGTGGATATTAAGAAGGCAGAAACTTATGAGAAGCAGTTGAAGCCATTGCCAGGCTTGAAGACGGTTGACGTGGAGAATCTGGAGAAGACTTCCGGAGCAAAACATGTTGAAAGTGCTGCTGATCTTGGAGCGTCTGATGCATACATGGTGGATAAAAGCAAGGCCAAATCAAAGAAAAAGAGAAAGAGAAAGCCAAGATATCCCAAAGGATTCGATCCAGCAAATCCAGGTCCTCCCCCTGATCCAGAAAGGTGGCTTCCCAGGAGAGAGAGATCAAGCTATAGACCCAAGCGAAAAGACAAGAGAGCTGCCCAGGTGAGAGGTTCCCAAGGTGCAGTGGCCAGAGAAAAACACGACTCTGGTGTCTCTGGAGGCAGTTCCAACAATGCAGACTCAAAATCCAACCAAGCAACGAGTTCGAAAGCGACCAACCAAAACACAGGCTCCAATCAATCCAGGCCTTCATCGAAGTCCTCGAAAAAGAAGTCTAGGAATTAAACTAAGAGAAACCCTGGTTCAAATTTTGGTATTTCTTTATCCCTTTGTTGGAGAATCTGGACCATTCTAAAGATGCTCGACACGCATCATCAACATCGGTTTTCTTTGAATTAAACGGATTTTATTATTCACAGTGCGAATTCAACATTGTGAGACCATTTCAAGTCAAGTCTTCTTTCTATAGCTTTTGAGTTACAAATAGTATTCTCACAGGGAGGGTGTTGCATTGCTCAGGAAGTTTGAGGTTGAATTACTTGAAAAAAGGAAACTTGGATGCTTCTCCGTGCAATGCAAGAAAGGAAAGAAGGTTTGACTTGACTCCCAAGGTGCATTACACTTTGTGGCTTGTTTTTCCAAGATAGCTTAAGCTTTACTAAATCATAATTTTTGTTTGTATTGAAATTGATTGGATATATAATAATTGAAAACAATTCAGCAAATGCCATTCAAACTATACCAATCTTATCCTCTTAAGTTATCCTAACAGAATCTCTTCTAACTTCTCTCCATATTTTTTAAAATTACCATCTTTTCTGACTATATTTATGTAAATATGGAAGCTTGGTGTCTTATAAATGTTATTCAAGTAATGTCATGTTAGGTGTAATTAAATATATATATACATATAGAAAACCCATTATTGACAATGGCTCAATTATTAACCACAATAATAATAATAATAATAATAATAAATAGAATTTTAATTTTTTTTTTTTAAAAGAAAGAAAACATTAATTTATTGTGGAATTTTGGCGAAGCGCGTGGTTAGATGGCAGTTGGAATTTGAAACTGAAATCTAAATTAGAAGGGATGGCCCACAATTCCTTGAAAGCAATAAGAGCCGTCAGATGAAAATCCAACGGTGGAAAAGAAACAAAGTAGTAAAATTAGAGAGCAGGCGGAGGCGGATATGGAGGAGGAGGCGCCAATTAGGGCTTCGTCTCCCGCCAGATTTAGGGTGCTCTCAAACGGAATCCCCTCCTCTGCAACCGACACGTGTCCTTCTTACCGCTTTTTACTTGTATTTAAACTTCCTTTTCTCCTCTCCTTCTCCGTCTCACAATCCCCTCTGCTCTCTCTCTCTCTAGAAACTCGAATCTACATCTTCTCTCTCTCTGGTAGAATTCTCCCTTGCGACAGCCGAATCTGTTTGCAGTATTCCAATTCAGTAAGCTACGTTTGTGGGGCATTCGATTCCGCCAAATTCTTCCTTTCGTCATTGCATTTCTTTCTCTCTAACTTAGGGTTTTCTCGTTTTTGTCTGGTAATTTCCTATCTCCGCTTTTCGGATTCCATTGTGTTCTTATCGTTGTTCGTTCGTTTTCCTTTGCAACCGTAGTTTCGTCTTGTTGATCTGAAGAAAAAAAAAAAAAAAAGGGATAAATTATCGTAGTCTGTGATTGTTCTTTCTGGGTATATTTGGTGCGGCTAATTCCTTATTGTTTCCCCTTTGTTCACCCACCTGTGCTTCAATCTGGGTTTACCTTCTTATCGAGAAACTCCGTGAAATTTTGGTGTGCTGTGTTTTTGTTTGCTATCCGAAATTGAGAGTTCTTTTTCGATTCTTTTATGTTGGATCTCTTCTACTAGTTCCTTTTTTCTCTCTCTTTTGTCATTTTCTTCCTTATGTTCTCTTCTACCTTCTTTCCCTTGGCGCCTGAAGACAATAGAAAAATCTTGGGTTAGGGTCTACCTGTAATGGCCTTGAATTTTTCACATCGACCGATCTTTCCCGCACATCTTTCGGAGGACAATTTGGTTTCTTCGATGAGCATTTCAAGTGGTTTTGTCGTCGATGGTGTTCCCGAGAGGAATTCTGACGTTTATGGGACGTCCTGGTTGATTACCCGGGAGCTCGTGGATTGCCTTGATTTTTTAGAGGACACCTGCAAAGGGGGTGGGCGAGATTGTGTCCCGGGGGATATTCTGGATCTCTTGCCTTCAGATCCATTTGGTATGGATATAAGTACCACTTTTACAGCAATCACAGGCTGGCTTGACGATCTGAACGTAGACTATGGTGGTGGATATGGAGGAGATGAGAGAGTCCCAGTTGATGGGAGTAGTCGGCTTTTTGCTGAATTGAACTACCTTTGGAACAATGCTTTTAGGTTCCAGGCGTCTCCCTTTGGAAACGAAGGAATTCCTCATAGTTCGAGTGAGCTGAGGGCATTCGGTGTGTGGTCAGATGAGAGAGAAGCAGGTGGTGTATCCTGTCATTCTGAGCCTAAGTCACCATATGGTGAAGATACAATTCAGATTCTTGGTACTGAACCTGAAATTTCTGGGGATGGATTCGGTGCGTGGTCTGATGGGATAAAAGCAGATGGTTTATCCTGCCTTACTGATCCTCAATCCCCTTATGTTGTGGATACAACAATTCGCACTCTTGGTATTGAACCTGAAATTTCTGGAGGCGGATTCAGTGCGTGGTCTGATGGAAGAAAAGGAGGTAGTTTATACTTCCATATTGATCCTCAATCATCATATGTTGTGGATACAATTAAAACTCTTGGCATTGAGCCTGAAATTTCTGGAGGGGGATTCGGTGCATGGTCTGATGGAAGAAAAGCAGGTTGTTTATCCTTCCATACTGATCCTCAATCGTCATATGTTGTGGATACAATTCAGACTTTTGGTACTGAACCTGAAATTTCTGGAGGGGGATTCTGTGTGTGGTCTGATGGGAGAAAAGCAGGTGGTTTATCCTGCCAGACTGATCCTCAGTTATCATACATAGTGGATACAATTCAGACTCTTTGTATTGAACCTGAAATTGCTAAGGGAATATTCGTTGCATGGCCTGATGGGAGAAAAGCCGGTGGTCTATCCTGCCATCCTTATCCTGAATCACCATCATATGTTGTGGATATAAGTCTGCCTCTTGGAATTGAACTTGAAACTTCTGGGGTGCAATCTGTAGTTCGTGATGAGGGAAGTCATGTCTCTATTGATGCAGGTGGGTCTCCTCATGCAGCTTTAAATTTTGTGCTTGGTTATCTGGGCACGCGGGAACTTCTTATTGTTGAATCAGTTTGCAAGTCACTGCAGTCAGCTGCAGAAGGAGACCCTTTCTTTTGGAGAAACATTAACATATGTGGAAAGCTGGATGTGAAGATTACAGACGATGTTCTCTTAAAGCTGACTAGCAAGGCTCAAGGTGGTTTGGAAAGTTTGAGCCTCGTGAACTGCGTAATGATAAGTGATGATGGTCTCAACCAGGTTCTTCTCAATAATGCTAAGGTCACAAAGGTATGAAATATAGTTTTGCACCGTTATTGTAAAGAATTCTTAATATCGATTTAAGATACTCATTAGTTTCTAATTTTACTTCCTTTTCTCCAGTTATGTGTTCCAGGATGCACAAGACTCACCATTGGAGGCATTGTTAATAATTTGAAGGCCTTCAAGTCAAAAGGTAGTCCGGGAATGAAACATTTAAGTATAGCTGGAATGTATGGAGTAACAGAAGCTCATTTTAAAGAGCTGGAGAAGCTGTTATTAGGTACTGACAACTTGACCCAACTAAATACTCACGAGCCTCGATTTTATCGAGGTGGAACTCATCTTCCTTCATGCAATGATGGGCGTGCCATTGACATAGAAAGATGCCCAAAATGCACGAACATGAGGATCGTTTATGACTGCCCGGTGGTTGGCTGTAAGGGAATAAAGGAAGGTGACACAAACCCTGATGCCAACACTCAGAAATGCCGGGGATGCACCCTTTGCATAGCTCGGTGCGACTGGTGTGGACGTTGCATTGACGAGACAGTACATGAGGAGACATTTTCTCTGGACTTGCGTTGCATTGATTGTGGGAAGGAGATATTGAAATGTGAATAAGAGGGTGGGAGAACTGGGTTCTTCCATCCTTGATGAAGAGACTTGCAGCTTCTTGATTCTTGGTTAAGTATTATTATCTGCATATATAAGTCAATTTTTTCAGATTGGTTCTGGCGAGAAATCCAGAGCAGCCAATGATCGGAGAATTGACTGGCATTGTCAAATCCAAATGTTGAATTTTTTAGACTTTTGAACGACTCCGAAGAAAAAAAGAAAAAAAAAGAGAAAAAGCTGAAAGTATACGACATAGTGTGATGAAATGGGTGCGCTATGGTTCTGGAAATAACTTCCGATTATTGTATTGGTGTACGAGTCTTACGTATAATCATATGTTGATGAATAATGCTTTTAGGAACTGGTGTTTCAGAGTTAATGATTTCGTTGTTGGGTCTCCATTTTTTTTCTTCCTCTAGCTACTGGAAGCTCGCATAGCACACAGACTGTGTACGCAACTCAGAATGTTGGAAGAGAAGGTACACTTTTTTGTGGACTTGGGTAGTCCTTATTCATTCATCACGTCCTGTTTCTGGCCATTGTTGTGGTTGGTGGGTATGTCAGTAGTACTATTATAGTTTTTGATATTTGCGTCAGGGGTATACAGTTCATGTTATGAGCTGCACCATGCACTGTGTGCTTTGTTGTTCCTTCGGAAGTCTTGTTGCTGTTACAACTTAGACGTCGTATTTTCGTGGACTTGGGGATGCTAATGTCATGTTGTTGGGAAGGATGCTAATGTCATGTTGTTGGGAAGGTTCAATAATGAAATAAATGAACTTCATTCCTATAAATTACTCAATTTCCTTTAGCTTTTATCTGTCCTGTTTGGTTTTTCAATTTCCCATCAGTTGTAGCTCCTCTGAACAATATTTAGACGTTTAATTATCTTTTTTCCCTATGTAATTCCTTTAGTTTATGTGGAATTGTGATTTGAACCTCTCTTACTATGAATATGTTTGAACAAGTCTGACTTGGGTCCACCCTTGTTCTTAAGATAAAACCTGTCCGTAAAACATGTTTTCTTTATAAAGAAGGTGGTCAAGGTCATATGGTCTTCAAAAGTTCCCCCAACCACACACAACAACAAACAAACAAACCCAAAACCATTCACAGGTGGAATTCTAAGTGAACCCATCCTGCCCTATATTCACCACTCACTCCCACAAAACATTGTTACTACATTACACATTACATTACAGTACAACACCAAATGTGAATAAAAGATTCACAAAATGCCACCTTGAAAACGATCGGGTTGGAGGGATCCCACCACAACCCCAACAACAAATTCCAGGAAAGCGAGTTTGTTTTCTACTCGTCGTCGCAGTCATCGTTCTTGTAAGAAACAAGAGTGTCCACTTTGTGAATCTGCAATAACACCGTTTAAAAGTTAGTTAGCTTAACAAATAAGTTTTGATATTCCTCCACGGAGTCTCTTTCCCTCACCTTTGTATCAAATGAGTGCAGCTTCACCATTTGTGGATTAGCAATCAGCTTAGGGTCACTCTCGATCCAAGTAAATGGAACTGCAAGATCTTTATCTGTATATGCTAACACATCAAATACACCTGACACAGCAAAAACGTCAAGAAAGCGCCTGATTGAGTACCATGGATCATCAATATCGTCCAAAAATCAAAGAGCTAGATTACTTTTTAAATCACTCACGAATCATTATAATTAGCTATGATTACCTTTTAGAATGCAAACAAGGGATTAGAACTCAAGTCCCATAAGAAAGAGACACATGCCCAACCATTCAAGCTATGTTCTAGTTGGCTAGTATTGATTTCATGATGGTATGTTAAATTATATGGCACATCGTGGTAATTTTGCCAACACATAAAGGGTTCATCATCTAGGCTGAACAAGAGAGTGACACATACTTGAAGCATCGCTTGCAAGGTTCTGCATAATGACTTCAGGACATCCCATGGATTCAGAATCCGACTTAACAATATCACATTATGTTACACCAATCCCAAAATCAATAAATGATGGATTATGATAATTTTGGCAACACTTACAGGGTTCATCTAGGCAGGGCAAGTAAGTGATGCTCGAAGCAATCTGTCTCATAATTGCTTGGATCTCCCTCATTATTTCTTTATCACTCTTTTCCCTCGACACACTGCAACAATGTTTATCTAATCAAACACCAAATCCAGAAATCTATGCAAGGGAAGAGAAGGTTTTCCATGAATTTCTTACCCTTGCTCGACCACCACTCCATCAGTTTCAATTCTGAAATTCCACCTCTCAAGCACCTCATTGTTGGCTTTGCTCATTATAACCAGCACAACCCTTTGCAGCTTCCCAGCTTCCAGCCATTCTAAAACCAATTTCACGATTCAAAAACTTCTCAATGAATACACTTCTCAGGAAAGTAAAAAAAAGCATACAAATCTTTCATTTAGAGAAGGGGAACTTACCAGAAAGCTGAGCAGTAAGATTAGAAATGAAGGTCTTAACACCTTCATCTTGAGTAAGCAACATTGGAAGTCCATATTTCTTCACCCTTGCAAAACTTTCTTCAGGATAAAGTCCACGATTGTACAAGATGCTACACATTTACAATCGACATCGCTTGTAAGCGACAAAATGCAAATTTACATGATCGCAAAACAAATATAAGAACAGAGAAAGCGCATCCATAATTCATACCTATTAGCAGCATACCCTAAATGATAAATTTCAGGACAACGAAAAAGAATTAATCAGCCAAGGATATTCATCGATAATCGCCAGAAGTAAACAGAAAATCGAGATAAAAAGGATTTCATAAGGCACTAAAGCAATATATACCGAAGAACTCGCTGACAATCGCTGCAGAACCGCGAAGAGTGATGATGTCTTTGGACGCTGTTTTCGAAGCCATTCCACCAAATCTTCTGAAACAATAAGAATTGTTCCCGAATTTCTTCGATTCTAAGACGAGGATCGGATTTAGGGCTTCTAATCGATGCAGGGGTAACCAAATTGGAAAGTGAAATCGATCGAGTAATCAAATTGACAGAGAAAAACGAGTGGATCTGAGGAAATTTGAGAACTCCGAATCGCAGGACGAGACTAAAAGATGAAGGGTTCCGTCCCCTAGAAAACCTCGAGTGGAAAGGCAACGGCTAATTCCCTGTTTGGATCCATCCAAAAATCAACGGTAACATTTTTAAATTTTCGCCGTTGTCTATTTTTTAATATTAGCGTTACCTCCGTTAACGCCACTAACGGTACGAATTTGGGCCGGGAACCATCTTCCTATATTCCCAAATTGCCCTTCTCCTGAAATCTCTAAAAATTATATTGATATTATATCACTATTAAATATATTAAATTAAAAATTCTATTTAAAAAGTTCAAATCCGTTTAAAAATAGAGATTTTTTCCTTTTAAATTATTTATTACTATTTATTCTAAATTCGTGTTCTAATTTTAACAAAAAAAAAAAAAAAAAAACTAATTTTTTAATAAAAAATCACCAATTTTTTTTTATTTTTTATTAATGACCAAAAGCAGCAATTTAATAAATCTCTTAGATACCACCCTTGTTTTAAAAAATAAAAAAATAAAAAAAATAAAAAAAAAAACTAATTTAATTAGCCACATAGTTTAAGCATCCTGAATCAATAATTCAGTCACCGACTTTTTTTTAAACCAATAGACGTGTGACCATTATTTATGCAATTCTAGCAAAAATGCTTTCAAAACTCTTCCCTTTAAAACTCTCATTATTGTTCTTTTGATCTCTTCGAGGTGGTGCGGTTCCTTAGTAACTTCTTCCTTTGTTAGCCGCACTTTTGTATCCATTTGGTTAGCCATGGATTCTTGGCTGGCTAACAAATTTTTAAAACTCTACAACGGATGGTTGAGCGGACCATCTTTGTACATTAATAATAAAACTTCTATATTCTAGTCGTAATCCGTAAATGATAACCCTCCTCATTCAAGCTTCTCTAATAATGAACTTTCAATCTAGTTCAGTAATCTCTCGACAGATTTGACTCGGTAGAAGTATAGAGTAATGGTCCTATCGCATTGTGAGACTAATAATAGCTTGTTCTCAAAAATTGTAACACTGTATTGTTCTTATTTGAAAAAAGCGTCACAAACGTATCTCATGCTTCTTTCGGTGTTTTGTCATCTCAAATGTACTCTAACGTCTTTTCTTCAAAACTGAAGCCCATTGTCGTACTCCTCTGGCGACGTAATTTCGCTTCCGCCAACAATCTCCCAAAGATCTAGTCCTTGTAGGCATAACATCATATAAGTTGCTCACATATTATAGTTGTTGTTATTAAATTTCTTGATTCCTCTGATGACTTAGAGATCACCTATCGTGTTGGTAGTACCTCAATAATATCAAACAACCTAGTTTTCAACACAAAAGTTGCAGAATCACGAACGACTCACAACACGAAGAAACTCACTAATAATCACAAAAAATTGCTTATAACGTGGGAGATCAGGTAGACCCGTAATCACAAAACATTTAAGAGTTTCAAGTGATCCAACAATTTATCACAACCTCGCTCGAATATTATACCGTTTGAACCAACTCTTTGGTGGAAACAATCACATTCTTTATTAAGATCAATTAAAAAGAATACCAGTTCACCCAGCACTATTCATATAATGGGCTCATGCAATTATGGGTTTGGCCTTATTGGGCTAGTGAGGATCTTTCAACATATCACCCATCGTAAGACCAAATTAATTTCTTACCCAATCTTTTAGAATGAAAGGTCAGTTGGACTCGGTTAGGACCGTTGATCAAGTTCAGCTAGATTCGATCGTCTATGATACTACAATCAATAGGTAAAAATGGGACTAAGCGATTTGTCAAACTTGTGAGATGTAAAAATGCATTGGTAGGGTAGCGTTCCGCCTTAGAGGGAAGCACCCCTATGAGAAGTGGAAGACGAAAAAAAATATATTTAATTCGTAATTAATTTTTTTGATTCACAAGCACGGTGAAATTTACACCTATTTATTGAAGGTGGACGACATAATTCTGATTCGATCTTACTCGAGGGCTTACTCATCGTTAAAATAGTAACAAAAAGTCGCAAAAATTGACCAACTTTAAATAATAATAATAATAATAATAATAATTGCAATAAAGGTTTGTAAAAGGAAGTCTTTTGAAAAAGAAAAAAAAAAAACACCATGATACCAAAAGCATTAGGAACAGTATGACGTGGAATAAGGTGGGTGGTGTGAGTGTGAAACAGCTGGGTGACATGGCCGTAGTGTGACAGGGAAGTGGTGGGAATGTGGATATGGATTATTGAGATGGCTGCCACGTCAAAAGTGGAATTGAAATTAAAAAAAAAAAAAAAAAAAAAAAAAAAAAAAAAAAAAAAAAAAAAAAAAAANGTGGTGTGAGTGTGAAACAGCTGGGTGACATGGCCGTAGTGTGACAGGGAAGTGGTGGGAATGTGGATATGGATTATTGAGATGGCTGCCACGTCAAAAGTGGAATTGAAATTAAAAAAAAAAAAAAAAAAAAAAAAAAAAAAGATTCCCTATGAGGCCTTGTTTTTTTAAGGATAGTGGGGAACGAAGATTCTGGATTGTAATTGTCATTTTCATGGCCAATGCCAAACAAAAATCTGCGCGAGTGAGACGCTTTTCCAAAGCAAATTGCTAGGAAGGCGGTGTTAAGGGCAGGCGTGGCTTGTGGCTTGTGGCTTGTCGCTTGTCGCCTGTCGCCTGTCGCCTGTCGCCTGTTGCCTGTCGCCGTGGTGGGGCTGCTGCCTTCCTTTCCTTTTCATTCTTTTTCTTCATTCAACCCTTCATTCATTTCATTGTAATGTCGACATTATGTTTTCATTTGCGCTTCAACTTTTAATACTCGTGGGTTTTATGATTCGGATTACGATTTGAAATACGGGTTCATGACTCAGGGTTTTGATGTTCTCTTGCTTCTTCTACGACATGACTACGTCACTTACTTGACTTAGAATGAGTTCAAATATTGAGGGTCTTGACATTCCCCTGCTTCTTCTGCGACATAACTATCTTACCTATTTGACTTGAATGAGTTCTAATATCTTTATAGTTCAGACGAGGATTTGGAATCTGGATTCAACATCTGAGAGTCTTGATATTTCCCTACTTCTTCTTCTTCTGCAATGTGACTATGTTGTTGTAAGTTGTGAAGATGCATTGTCATAACTCTCATTTAGTTCATAATCCTTGATGTTCATATTCTCATTTATTTTAGTTATTAACTCTCATTTAGTTCATTTATTTTGGTTATTAACTTTCATTTATAGTTCATAACCCTTTTGATTCATATTCTCTATAAGAATTAATATTGTTATATCTATATAAATGTTTGTCTAGCATTGTTTTGAAATGTGGAGTTATTGTCATTTTGTATTTGCGTAAAAAGTAATTAGGAGGAATTTTGGAAGAGAGACTTTGTAGTGTGAGAGTGTGAGAGATACACTCGTAAACATTTTAGTTATTGTGATTGGCTACCACTAGTGGATTTAGAGGAATTTCTTCTCTCGTAACCATGTAAATCTTTGTATCTCCTTGTTTAATTTCTATTTGTGGGTGTGTAAGTGTGATCAATCTTAGTTCTGCTTCTGCAACAACAATTGGGTATTAGAGTACTTTTTGTTGGAGCATTTGCATTACAACAATTGGGTATCAAACATTAGCGATTGTAACATTACTGCACAACATATGTCACCTATTAGACTTGAACGAGCTCTAATATCGCAAAATAGGATTAGGATTTGAAATCTAGATTCAACAATTTGAGAGTCTTGACATTCTCCTACTTATTCTATGACATGAGTATGTCACCTACTCGACTTGAACGAGTTCTAATATCCCCACACGATTCCTAGGAAATTTATTAAACGATTACCTAACATAGGATTACTCAAAAACAAACATGTTTAACTTTGAAGTTCATATAATTGTATGATAAAAAAGGAAATTATGTCTTGTTTGTATCGATAGTAACGGTAAATTATTTTGAGTACTTTTTAATTATAGTTTCATATGCCAGAGAGTACTAGATGTGGTATTAGTTCATTCACGTACTTTTTGTGTACTTTTTAATTGTAGTGAGAGCTCGGTCAATATTAAAATAAACTTTATAATATATGGTTAAGTCAAGAAAAAAAAAATTAATTAATTAATCAATATAATATCTAAATATAAAAAATATGACCAGATTTTCCCTCGTGTAGTCTAAGACATGTTTGTAGCTGCAAAATCTTTTTAATCGATACTATTGTTGTGTTATTTTATTATTATAATGTCTGTATGTATGACATTTAGACAAAATCATGTATATTTGTGCTACCCAACATGAAACGACTCAAATTCTATTATAGGGAGACCAAATAATTATCAACGCTTTTCGATTTAGCGTCATAAACTTTCTTGGTTAAATCTTTTCAATGCAATTGATATTTACAGTATTTTCTTTCAAATAACTTTCAATTCATTTTCTCGCTCACATTAAAAATATTATCTTAATACGTGACTCGAGACTAAAGATTACATCGAAGTTATCTGTAAAGTACAATTTTTATATGGTTAGTTCGTTGGATTAGAACATATATCACCCAATTACTTTTTTTTCCGTCAAAAGAGTATATATATATATATATATATTAATCAGCAATCATTTTTAATTAAACTTTTTATAATTTCTTTATTAAACATTACGTTATTAAGTTCATCCACATCAATCAAATAAATCTCATTTCACGTGTATTTTGCTTACTTTATCACTTTATATTATTAAAATAAATTAATAATAATAAATAATTAAATAAACGAAAGGATGTTGGATTTATTACAATTGGTGCACGTGGAAAATAGCTTTTCCAAAAGTTTTCTTTGAATAAAATTAAAGAAAAAAAAAAAAAGGAAATGTCTTCTCAGCCATGGAATATGTTCATACAATATATACACTTTATATATATATATATATATAATTTCTAATAAATTAAAAAAAAAACTTGTTTGCAATATATTTTAATAATTCCTTTGATATGGATTTTTATCTTGTTTTTATTATTTTTTATTAAATAAAATTTTAAAATATAGTAAAATTATAA